ATGTGTCACAGAAACTGGTTCCTCATGATACTACTAGGATACAAGGATGCAAAATGTGTGTGTGTGTGTGTCTCTCTCTCTCTCTCTCTATGCAAAATGTGTGTGTGTGTGTGTCTCTCTCTCTCTCTCTCTCACACACACACACTCCCCGCATGGCCCCACATACTTGTCTGTGAACACATGTTCTTGACTGTGGCTACACAGATCATATATGATTAATAACAAAGCACTATAAGAGCAATAATATCATTATCATCATCATCACAATCATCATCAATCACCACCGCCATCACCACCACTATTATAACCATTACTGCTACTGCAGCTACTACTACTGTCACTGTTGTTGTTGCTGCTATGAGAACATAATGCAATTATTGCTGTGAGGACACTATGTGCAACCAGAATTTGCGACCTTCCTGAGTGATTGCTAAGCAATTTCACATGGAACACATCCAGTGTGACCTTATTTACGTACACATTTTTTACTGAGACTGAACTTTATATAAAATAAAATTATTGAGATTCACATTCTCGACTGAAAGAAAATGACACGAAAAAACTCAATTTCTTGACTCATATGAAACACTGCCCAGGATGCAAAAAACACAATAAGACTGCACACCTGCCCACTTGCTAGGCCAACGGAGAGGTCTGCAATAAAATTGTCCTCAGTCTCACCACTCCTGTGGCTGACCATCACACCCCATCCTGCAGCTTTCGAATCGAGAGCAGCCCGAATGGATTCTGTGATAGTTCCAATTTGGTTAACCTGCAACCAACAACTATCCATTATTAGATGGTTAAGAAAAATAAAAAGATGGTGTTGCATTTCTTCATATTATCATACATTGATTTGCCCAAAGTTGAAACAGTCGTAGAATACTTCCAAATTCACAGAACATGGAATGTTTACAATTTTATGATCCATGCCTATCATTTACCTGTCATTTCTTCATCACGAATTTGAGTAGCTCAAATCTTACATACTCAAAAGAAATAAAATTGGATCTTGAGAAAATCATTTGTTTGTTATTATCAGGATAGAAAAAAACCACTTTCAAAGGGAAGCCATCCACCAGCTACATACAAGCAAATAAAATGTCTGTATAATACTAAAATGATGCATCCAAATGATTGTGGTAAGAAGACTTACTTTCAAGAGCAAACCATTGCAAGCCTTCTTCTGGATTGCCTCCGCTATCCTTTTTGGATTAGTAACCAGCAAATCATCCCCGACTAGTTGAATGTCAACCGAAGAACACAATGAAGCCCATGAGCTCCAATCATCTTGGTCAAAAGGATCTTCAATGGAAACAATTGGGAAGTCCCTAGCAAACTCTTTGTACAATTCACACAGGCTGTGAGCCCTATATACGCTGGACCCATCATTTGGCTCATTTTTAAAGTCCAAGTCATATCTTCCATCTTTCATGAAGAATTCTGATGCTGCAACATCCATACCTATTTTGATCTGCAAAAATGTGTATCAAGCTTAAGTCGTTCCTAAACAAACAATATCATAAGATTGTAGATATTGCACACATACGAGTGCGTGAACACACTCACACACACAGACCAACAATTGCACAAGTCACCACCTCCAAGCGACCTTGCAAGTGTCCTCTGCACCATGATGTGCAGCTTGCACACCCATGGCCTTGCACACCCGTTGGGTCAATTATAAAGACCCTTTATTTTTCTAAAGATATCCTAGGTGTTCTATGTTCAAAAAACTAATGGGACATGACAATCACATGTCTCATACTAGTGCTATAGTTGTCATTTCTTGTTCAAACTGATGCTCATTCTTTTTTGAAGAGCCATGCTATTGTTGTGGAACCCTTAACAAAGAAAACGGTTATTTTATTTTTTAGGTCAATACCTTGCCAGTGTAACCAGCTTTTTCGATTGCATCAACAAGTAATACAAGTCCCTCCCTATTATCCTGAACATTTGGGGCAAATCCCCCTTCATCTCCAACATTGCACGCATCTTGGCCATACTTTGCCTTGATGATGCCCTTCAGGATGTGATAAACTGTTCCATACTCAAAGCCAAACCATCATTCTTTGTATCTAGATACTCAAAAGAATGAGCAACTAAGTCAATCCATCAAAATAGGCAAATAAGCAAATAAAGGGGGCATAGGATAGATAAAAATATGGCAGAAGTTCACCTTCACTACCCATTTGTAGAGCCTCTGCAAATGAAGAGGCACCTACTGGTAATATCATGAACTCTTGCATTGCCAAGTTGTTACCAGCATGACTTCCTCCATTAATAACATTGAAAGCAGGGACAGGCATAACAAGCTCCTTAGTTCCAGATAGTTCCTGAATGTGTTTGTATAAAGGAATTCCTTTTGCTCCGGCGCCAGCTCTGCACACGCTTAGAGACACTCCCAATATGGCATTAGCCCCAAACTTGGACTTATTTGGAGTACCATCAAATTCCAGCATGATGGAATCCACGTCCTCTTGGTTCCTGATCGCAAGAGCACATAATAATCAAGCCATCAAATTTCTATGTAAAGAAAAAGGTAAAGGTATGCCTGATAGTCAACTATTTCCAAAAGAAAAAGCAATTGAATGTATACTTCAATGAATAATGACATAACTAAATGAAAAGCACAAAGGGAGAAAAGAGATTCACACAAGGCTTCTAAAAGTACCCTAATTAGGGAGAACATATTAGGTAACAAAAAATCGTTTTCTAGCAATCATTTTCATAGGTTAGAATACCCACTAAGTAAAGCAGTGCCCTATAAAGCTGTATGAACAGGGAATTCAACATATTTAGCAAAAACTCATCGATAACCACAGAGAAAAATTCAACATTCATAATCCCGATTACAAAAATATCAAATAAGTTTTGAAAGACTCACATGCAACCAGCACTAGCAAATGTGCACACAAGCATTTAGTTGCCAGACAATAAATAAGACTGTCAGCCCCTAAAGAACATATTTCGTTTCGGTGTCCATATGGCAAACTAGTAACCTATATGACACTCTGTAACTCATGAACAAAGGGATGCACTAAATGAAGGTAACTTTGCAAAACCCAATAAACAACTCTAGGTTGTACCTTCATGTTTGATAAGTCACAAATTTTTATTATAGAGAAATAACAGAATTACAATTTATTTGTTGGGGCTTCAGACAGCAAGACAGCCCAAAACCCCATGCCGCTTTTGATACATGTGACCTTTGAGTTTGCTCTTTAGAAATGTGGACAGGGGCCTTGGAGCCAGAAGGAGAACTTCATGCTAAGGTGATCAGAGAAACCACTTTAAGACACTTGACAATGTTAACTCAATTTCCTTCATTGGATAAACTTTAAAGTATAAATACTAAATCTAATAAATTAAAATATGATGCAAAATAATCATTAGTTCAAGATGAATAAATGACAAACATTCATTCAGATTTCATATTTCAAGGAATCAACCCTTAAAAATTACGCCTCATCACTTATAAACTCATTCTTTGTCATTTTTAAACATGACTGGCAACACACTCCACCCAAAATACAGCAGATTTTAACTTGAGTTAATCAAATTTCAATCCCAAAATTAATTGACCATCCCTGCAATTTTTCTTCGGTAATTTAGGAAATAGGTAATATGCATAAGAATGTACAGGCATGCAAACTGTTTCAGATACAGTTGAACTCAAGGTTGTCTGCATCTGCATGAACTTAGAGAGCAAGGTAGATTATAATACTAAACTCATCCACTATAATCGACATTAGATCACAAAGTAACCAGCATTATCTAAGCAAATAAACACAACTAAACTAAGCACTAGTACAACATGAAATTCGACATTGTCCCCCATTCCAATAAAATCGGACTTCTTAATTCCCATCAACACCACATAAAGTTCAGCTGGACATTCCAAATTTTCAGAAATATGATGCAAATTGATATGTCAGATTCCACAATATTTCAGAGGAATACAGAATAATAAATCAAAAGATTCCATCCGTACGTAAGTATATACAATATCCAAATTCTCCACATCAAAATTCAAAAATATATCGAAACAATAAAAATTCAACACAATTCAGACTCCCATTTCCTCTCAACAAACTGAACATATAATCACATTTACGAGCTTTAAAAAAATTAGAACCTTTTAACCAAAAAAGTTAGAGAAAATCACAGAATCAGACAAATAAAAAGCTTACAAAGAAAATCCCAGAATCATTTCCGATAAAAGGCTGCCGAGAACAGTTCAACCAAAAATAAAAGCTCGAAGTTTTCGAGATATCACTGAGAATAACATTTACCTAACATCCACACCAATCAACTTAGGAGCAAGGATCTCATTAATGTTCTTAACAGCATTAAGGACCCCTTTCCCTCCATAAACAGATTTATCTCCATCTCTCAACTCCAAAGCTTCATAGATACCAGTCGATGCACCACTCGGAACAGCTGATCTGTAAACATCGTCAGTCACGAGATCAACCTCAACCGTCGGATTCCCCCTGCTATCAATGATCTGCCTCGCCTTCAAATTCTTAACCCTAAACTCACCCCCTGCCTTCGTCACAGCAGGAGCGTCTGCTACTGCAGCTCTAATGGCAAGGCCCCTGGTTTTTCTCGGTTTTATGTAAGAGAATTCAGGGGAAAGAAACGGTTTCGAGGATGAAAGCCCTAGGTTTTGAGGAGATAAAGACTTGGAGGAAGAGATTGAAGAAGAAAAGCTTTGGGATAATGCCATTTTTTGCACAGAGAGAAGAGCGATGCAAGGATTTTCTAGAGAAAAATACGCAGGGTTTTCTCTAGAAAGAGAGATGCAGGATTTTCTCTAGTGAGAGATGCAACGTCTTCTCCAGAGGGAGAGAGGAAGGGACTGAGAGAGAGAGGTTGGCGTTTTTTTTTTTTTTTTGTTAAGGGGTGGGGGTTGGTGGGGTTTTTAGAAAGGGGGAGGAGGAGTGTGGGAAAGTCCGCCAAAATGGAAGTGGGCGGGCGATGAAAGCAGCGTTTGATTGACGACGAGTGAGAGACCATTGTCCTCTCCTGTTGAGAGAGAGAGAGAGAGAGAAGGGCAGTAGATCAAGAGGTTGGTGGGAGAACCTTTTGGGTTGTTAGGAAATTTGAAAATATGAAATTTGTGCATGATATACCCGAATATGAAAATTTTGAAAAATTATTATAAATGTCTTAATTGTTTTTTAAAAAATGACTTCAACTTTCATAAATCTCTTGGACGTTTTTTTTTTTCTCAATTTTGATTTTTTTTAACAAAAATAACTTTCACGATATTCGTATTACCATAAATGCTATCGGGGTATTTTAAATGGCGTAATGACCACGCTAAACATTTTGATAATTTAAATACCGTAATGACCAAACCAAGCATTACGGTACTTTAAAGACTGTACGGTACTTTAAAGTAACGTAATGATTAGCCTGATTATTATGGTATTTTAAGTACCGTAATGTTTAGCCTGGTCATGATGCGGTAGCTATTACGGTAATACGACTGCCGTGAAGGCTATTTTTTGTCAAAATTGAAGAAAAAATATGTGGACGAGGTTTATGAAAGTTGAGAGTTTTTTTTTTATTAGGTAAAAATTAAATTATATTTCTGATAATTCCTCTAACTTTTAATATATTTTCATAGTCCTACAAAAACTTAAGAAAAATAAATAAAAAGGGATGAAAGGGATAGTTTTACTAAGGGTATTGGCCTCCTTCTCATAACCAATTCTGTTATGGCATATTTCTAGTTTGAATCGGCGATTCTCAATTGTAATTATCAAGTTTTAAAACACTTATTACAATCAATGACTCCAAATTTCACTGTAGGTTATAAGAAACGAAGACTTAAGCTTCTACAAATCTCTAGCAACAAGTTCCAGCTAATGAAAATAGGAATTGGAGCTTTAATTCTCGTTCTTGATAGCTCTAGAAATGTTCTTTCTCTATTTCAATTACTGATGTATCAGTTAATTTGCATCATTGTAAGTGTTCCAAATCGATACTGCGATAATGATGATGGATTTGCAGGTATTTCACGAAGGCTTTGGTCTCCTCAATCCACTTAAAACAAATGAAAACTTGAGTCGCTGCAACAGGAGTTCAACTCAAAGTCACAAACTTCACTGGTAAAGATAGTAACGCCACTTTGGAGTTTGGATGGACCACTTGTTCAAGGTATTTTCGTAAGGGATTGTATATTATGAGACCATTTATCTTTGTTATAATGATGTAACAATTACTCATAGCTATTAGATATCAAATTGGATGGTTTGAGGTGTGTCACGAGATTCAAAACATAAATAAAATTAAACTTTAAATATAATCAATGACACTCCTATAACCACCTGATTTAAAATCTGATGGATAAGAATGTTTGTGACCTCCTTATAGCAAAAGAAAATTGTATCTTTAAATACTTGCCCTTTCTATAATGGGAAAGTATATAATGATATCATTTACCTTTTGAATCATGAAGTACAATTAATCTTGACCATTGGATGTCAAATCGGGTGGCTGCATTTATTTTATTGACCAAGCTCAAAGTTCAAAAAAAAAATTCTCGAACTTTGTGACACACCTAAACTATCATATTTTACATCGGATGGTTGTAATTAATCGTGACCTCTTTATATAAAAAGTAAATGGTCTCATTGCATACAATCCTCTCTATAATTGTAGCCCTCTTACTATAAAAGTACAAGGGATCATATACAATGATACCATTTACTTTTGATATAAGGAAGTCACAATTATTAATAACCATCCCAAGTGAAATTTGATGGATTAGGTTTTGACTTTGATCAATGGAGTAAATGCAGCCATCTAAATTCACATCCAATAACCAAGATTAATTATAATACCAACGGTAAATGGTCTTATTGCATACTTTCCCACTTTATAAACAATAAATTAAAAAGTGCATGCTCAACTTGTTATTAGAAGCAAGACTCGATCATCTGCCTCGCTTACACAAATGGGCCATTCCCAGTGCCCAACATAGATGAAACAAGAGAAAGCAAAACATTATCGAGAATTGTTAGTATTCTTCTAGAATTACAAATGCCAAATATTTTCTATTTTACAATCAATTCCCTTTTTCCTGTATTTTTTTATTCCTAAGATATCCCCAATTCGGACATCGAATATTCTTTTGTTGATGAAGGACCTAGTTTTGAGCATTTGATGTCTGAACGATATTTTTGTGATCCGGCTAGTTCAGACGTCCAATTTTGAATCATTATTTAAGTATAAAACAAGAACAAGTGGCCGAAACTAATCTTTTGCTTGAAAATATTGACAATTTGTCAGGTTTGGACATTCAATGTCTAAACCTAACTATTTACTTTTTTTTGAGTAAAAGACCAATTCACTCAAAAAATTTGACAAGTGGCCGGATTTGGATGTTGAATGCTAAATTTAGGTACTTGCATTTCTTAAGTCAAATATCAATTCGGACATCTAATGTCTGAACCAACATAGTTACCAAAAAAACACTTCGGACCTTAAGTAATTAGAGAATAAAAATACATGAAAAAGTGAGATATGAGATAAAATGGAAAATATGTTAATATCCTTTTCTAAAAAGTGATACGTTTTTTTTCCATAAATACCTCTTAGATAAGATAATCTTTATTTCCATAAATATCTCAGGCCATCCATCCTAGCCCCTACATGGTGAAGTTAATTGGGACGAAGTTAAAGAGCATATACAAATAAAGGAAAAGTAAGCAGTAATACAAAGCAATTTGTGTTAGTATTTTTAGTTTTGGAAAAAATAATACTATGTAATATTTCAAAATAATGTACCATCTTTTGCTGCCCTTTTTCACCCACATTTCTAGCATTTTGTACAAAATGGCTAATTGACAATCACATCAAACGCCTATTTGACTATGGACAGATAATGTTAGACATCCTCACTATATGTCTTCTTGCATGGTAATGGTCATCTTAGCGGTATGTTGTTAACACAAAAAGTAGACCATGCAAAATGGGGTATCATCTTCATTTTAGCTGTTTTCTAGTTAATTGAAGTCTAACATGATATATAATTCCACAAAATGACATGATTACTTAGAAAACAATAGATATTTCAAATTCCTAAGGGGTTCGAAATAAATATTTGGTCAAAGGTGGCAGGAAATTCAAAAGAAAGCAAACTAAATAGGGGTGGGGATTGGGTCGGGCCGACCCAATTGAGTCTAGGTCTGGACCCAACAGATTGGATATGGATCTACTTTACCTTGACCCAACAGATTGGATATGGGTCTACTTTACCTTGACCCAACACCTATTAGGTCCGAGTTAGATACTGTCAAGGTCAGGTTGGGGTCAATCCAACCCAATCCTATCCAATATATTAATATAAATACATATTAAAAATATTAAATATAATCTAAAATATTTATCTATTGTTTTTTTTATTTATTTATAGATATGTCGGATTTGGGTCAAAATTGACCCAAACCCGACCCAACCCATTCCCACCCCTCAAGCTGAAGCACTAAGGGTACTTGGACGGCATGTAAATCGTCAATATAGTGGCTTCACGTAGTATTTGTCCTATTTCCTATTTGGGGCAGGTAGGGCTCGCAATGGACAGGTGGCCTTGCTGGCCATATAAAACTAGGTCCTAGGCCACAAATTACGGTCCGAAGGCCGGCCCACCCGGCCTTGTCTAGCCTTGGCTTCCTCTTCCGTTCTACATGTCCATCCAAATTGGCCCTTAATTTACCTCTCAAGAAAAGCATTTGGCCCTTAATTTGTGAGCAATGCAAACAAATTAGCATTGCCCTTGCTTTCTGCTTATTCTATGAAGCCTTTTCATAATTTATTGACTCGGAGAAACCCTCTAGAGCTTAGTGTTTTGCTTTGAAGTTGCAAGTTAACTATTCAAAGAATAGACATGCCAATAAGAATCGAAGTAAAAGAACAAGGCAAACATTTGAAAGAAAAAGAAGGTTATGAGAGTAAATAGTTGGCATATATAGCCATTCAAATAATGAAAAAGTTTATATAGAGTCGAGGCTTTAAACAATTAAATTTGAGCCTACATCAAAAATTTCATTAAAAGAAGTTGTTTTGATGCCCAAATATCTTCAAATTGATCATCTAGACATCAAGAAGCATGAACATGAGAAAAAAATGGATTTCAAGTTTTTGAAATCTGTATTTTGTAACGCATTTTTTAACCGTCAATTTTCAAGATTTTCAAGCTTTCATAGATATGTCAATCTACACTATTTTTTAAGCTTTAAACTTTATAAATAAATATAAAAATATATTTGAAGGCTATCACAAAGATTTCCAATATTGAAACCACATTTCTCGACACTATTTAAAAATAAGCTCTAATGTGATCATTTAGAGCCTAAGCTCTATACAAACAGCACCCTTCAAATAATACTAATATTTGGGTTAGATGTTAGGTGCACAACATGAGCAAGTTGGAAGGTCAAGCATGCCTGCCCTCCCACATGCATTGAACAAAGGTTGGTAGGCGATGGCGGCGATTGATGCAAGAAGGTTATATATGCAAGAGCAATGTTACTTGGTCAGCTATGCCCCAGTATAATACCATTTTTTAAGGAAAAAGTTTATATAAGGGCAAGGCTCTAAAGACTTAAATTAAGGTGCGTCTCAAAAATTTATTAAAAGATGTTGCAAAAAAAATTCTCAAATTCATCATCCCAACTTCAAGATATATGGACACGAAAAAAAAAAAAGATTTCAAGTCTTGGAAATAGTGCATCATATAATGCATTTTTTGACCGTCAATTTTCAAGATTTTTAAGTGTTTATAGTTCTACTCAATCTACACTATTAGTGAAGCTTTAAATTTTATAATTAGAGATAAAAATAAATTTTCGGGTCATATATTGAAACAACTTCCTTTGATGGTTTAGGGCCTCGGCCTTATACAAACCACGTCTTTTTTTTGAATGCCCACTTATCATTCCATGGAGAAAGCTACACACATGGTTGCCACTAAAATGGTGGCGTAATTTTATTGGTGCTCTTATTTTGATCGGACAATTG